CCTGCCAAGGCTGCAGCAGCAGCAAGGGTGTAGATGCATTTCCTAGCAGGAAGGGAAGGCAGGCAGACATACCGCCTTTTCCTTCGACTCCTCCATTCTTCTTTATATCTGGACCTGCTGGAAGGAGTCATCCACTCTAGGGGAGGGATCGTCCCCACTTCAGTTCATTCTCCCTGGAAATACCCTCATAGACCTGCCTAGAGGCCCAGCTCTTAGTCGAGTCCAGATACAATCATGTTGGCCATCAGATTAACCATTACACTTCGCCATCTACTCTGTGTGCAAAGAAAAGCAGTCGAGAGTAAGAACATGTACAGAATCCCAGGCAGGAATGGTTGACCTGATCTTGTGGTCCAAAGCCTAGAAGGAAAGAGATGGGGCAAGGTGATCTGGGAAAGAGGCAAGTCTATAGGACTATGCATGAAATAGGAGGAACTTACTGGGCTAACACTCATCCAAGGGAACCAACATGGATCAGATGCCAAATACTAGAATAGAATAATGGGGAGTGGATATAGCAAGGCTGGATCATCAAGCTCTCCAATTCTGGTATAATGGTGCATGAACAGAGTAGCCATGGTGGCAGGGAAAAAAGCTATGAGTGAAGGATACAGCAAGGCTGGATCTACTTACCGCCACCTGCCAGCAACAAACACCATTGCTAAGCACTTCTGTGATGTGTGTGGAGGTTATTTTTCTGTTACTACAATAAAATGCCATGACCAAAAAAACAACATGAGGAAAAAAGAGTTTATTTTGCGTTATGTTTCCAGAGGGCTAGAGTCCATGATGGTGGGGAAGTATGGCATGCTGGTTGGAGCAGGAAGATGGCTGATCACATTTTTATCTACATACAGGAAGCAGAGAGCAAACAGGAAGTCAGGCAAGGCTATAATGCCTCAAAGCTCAACCCCAATGACATACTTCTTCCAGCAAGGTTCTATCTTCTAAAAGAGCTACCTGTCTCTCTACCCTTCAGCACTGGAGTTACAGGCATGGATAACAGAGTTCAAACTCAGATCCTCGTGGTTGCACAATAATCGCTTGACCAACTGAGCCATCTTCACACCCTAAATTATCTTTTCCTTTGAATTTTTATTACATTAATTGATTGAGTGTGTGTGTGTGTGTGTGTGTGTGTGTGTGTGTGTGTGTGTGTGTCCCCGTGAGTTCACATGTGAATGCATGCACTCCTGTGCATTCACTATAACACTTGTGTTGAGGTCAGAGGACAGATTACAGAAGTTTGTTTTCTTCTTCCACCATATGGGTCCCAGGGATCAAATTCAGGTCTTCAGGCTTGGTGGCAAGTGCCTTTACTCACTAAGCACTAAGGCATCTTGCTGGCTCCCTAAATTATGTCTTAAAGGTACAGCTCAAGCTGGGCGGTGGTAGCGCACGCCTTTAATCCCAGCACTCAGGAGGCAGAGGCAGGCGGATCTCTGTGAGTTCAAGGCCAACCTGGTCTACAAAGAGAGTTCCAGGAAAGGCGCAAAGCTACACAGAGAAACCTGTCTTGAAAAACCAAAAACAAAACAAAACAAAACAAAACAAAAGGTACAGCTCAAGCATCTACTTTGGGATGATGTCCTGCAAAGATGAAATACACCTTCAGGACACAGTTCGGACCCCAAGTCAATGACCATTATATGATCCTGTGTCCCAAGTAGGTAGAATATATCCAGGAGCCAGCTAGTGGAAACAGGGATGGCTCTGTTTGTCAGTGCTCCCAATGACAATGACCTCAGCTCCAGAGACCCAGTATCCTTGGCTCTCCAAGTTTCCTACTATCAGTGACACATTAAATCAATTCAACTTTAAGCTCTCTGTTTAAGTGTCTGTGCCAAGAGGCCATCAGGCAAAGAAAGGTGTTACCATGCTGGCAGGATCTATTGACCATGGCCATCATCAGGAGGTTGGACTGTTATAAAATAGTTGCAAAGGACAATCAATGTGTTTCAACCTAGAAGTTTCCCTGGGATCCTTTCTTCAATCTCTCTGTCCAACATGGAGGTAAATGGACAAGCTCATGAACCATAGCCTGAGCCAAGTCAGCAGCCAGGCCAACAGCAGTGCCCACAAGGAGAGAGGGACTAGCGGCAGCATGGAAAGCTGGGGGGTGCTCTTTCTCTTACCACCCCCTTCTTTGATATCTGCTCACACAGAGAATCGTGGAGCCACATCCAGAGGAGGCCAACTTACTGTATCCTGCATGCAGATGTGAATGGTGGACTGTAGTGGACTCCAGTGAAGGACACATGCTTCCTCGTCCCTTCCAAGTGGAAGAAACTTTTGTTCTCCCATGTTCCAGAAGAGTTGGTTGCTAACCACTCACAGTTCAATTCCTCTCCTGGCACTGCTCTTAGCCAGAAGGCAGAAAAGGGGGTTTAACCCAAAATGTATGCCCATCCCTGGAGGAAGAAAGGCTGCATCCAAGACTTGCTAACGAAGAGATAAAATATCTTAGGCCGCTGACAAATTAAGGCAACTCTAAAGAGCCATCGTGAAAAGAGAGCTGCTAAACCTCTTCACCAGTTCAACATCTCTGCTCAAACTCATGTCCCCCGACTCTCACAGCTGGGTTTTCTTCTGTTTAAAAAACATTTTATTAGCATATATTGACAGCAAGCCCACTTCCTGCATGTCAATCTCTGCCTTGGTATCTAACACTTCAACATAAAGCTGGTATAGCTGGTCAGTGAAGGGGCTGGAGAGATGGCTCAGAGACTAAAAACACTTGTCGCTCCTTCAGGGAACCCAGGTGCAGTTCCTACAACCTTTCACAACTTCAACTTTCATTCTAGGGGATCACAGTAAGTTGCAAAGAAATGTTCAGGGAAGTCTCACGAACCCACCACCCAGTCTCCCCATGTTATTACCTCACAGCCACACTGAATCAAAACCAAGAAGTTGGTAGGTAATGCTCCACAGGGTTCACTGTCTTATTAGTTTTTAGTTAATATATTTTGTGTGTGTGCACGCACGTGTGTGATATCTCACATGTGGAGGTCAAAGGACAGCTTGTGGAGAGTCAGTTCTTTCCTTTCACCGTGTGAGTCCCAGGGATCAAACTCCAGTAGTCAGGCTTGGTGGTAAGCACCTTTTCCTACTGAGCCATCTCTCATGTGAGTTCTACATGCACCGTGCGTGCATGTGTGCGTGCGTGCGTGCGTGCGTGTGCGTATGCGTGTGCGTGTGCGTGTGTGTGTGTGTGTGTGCGTGCGTGTGTGACCAAGGCTATCAATATGTGAGCCTTGTTGAGCTGTCACCACCAGCAAGGTTCTCTCCTGCCCAAATTTTGATACACTCATCCTCTCTCCCTCATCCCTAAATTCTTTTCCACTTTTAGAACTCTGACTTTTCTAAATGTTCTTATTATATGCTACCTTATGGACTCCTTTCTTTCCCTTGGTATCATTTCATTTGGGTTTACCCAAGATGATGTGTGTGTTATTAACCATTCATTTCATCCTATTGCTGAGTACTATGGTGAGGATGTACCATAATCAATGTAACCATTTGTGTCTTTGGCAACATTTAGCAAGCTTCCAGCTTTCTAACTATTATGCACAATACTGATATGAATATTCATGGATAAAAAAGAAGTCTCTTTTCTGTAATAAATGCCCAGGCAAGCAATTGAGGCTTTGTATATTAAATCTGCTTTTAACATTGAAAATGAACTGTCACACCATTTTCAAGAATGGTTCTACCACGTTACATTCCCATTAGCCATGGATGAGTATGTTTCTCAGCATCCTTACCAGCATTTGATGTTATTCCTATTTTTCATTTTATCCTAATTCACTTGCATGGCTATCTGAAACTTAGGGCAAATCACACTTGTTTTGCTTTTTCAGCACTGACATGAAATCTTATTTTAAAATACAGTTATGTTAAGTGTTAAAAGCAAGTAAACTGGATGGAGAATATTAAGTAAGTATCAGTTTTAGTGCCTCCACAGGTACAAAAAGTCAGGATTTAGTACTTTAATATGTGAGTTTTAGAAGCCCTCCCATTTGTGCTATGGATTAAGAATTTTTATGGGCTGGCCATTTGGCTTATGCAAAAAAACCTGGGTTTTGGGGGGGAGTAGGGGCTTGTGAGATGGACTAATGATTAAAAATGCATTCTACTCTTGTAGAGGATAGGAATTCATTTCCCAGCACCCATGTTGGATGGCTCACAATTGACCTATAACTCCAGCTTCAAGGGATCGAGCACCCTCTTTTGGCCTCCATGGGCCTCTACACTCACATGCACTTGTCCCACACACATACATATAACTAAAGATTAAAAATAATTCTTGGAGCTAGGTGGTGGTGGTTCATGACTTTAATCCCAGCACTCAGAGGCAGAGACAGGTGAATTTCTGAGTTCAAGGTCAGCCCAGTCTACAGAGTTAGTTCCAGGGCAACCAAGGCTATACAGAGAAACACTGTCTTGAAAATAAATAAATAAATAAATAAATAAATAAATAAATAAATAAATAAGTAAGTAAGTAAGTAAATAAGTAAATAAGCAAATAAATAAATAAATAAATAAATAAATAAATAAATAAATAAATAAATAAATAAATCTTAGGCCAGGCATAATGACTCACACTTTTATTCCCAGCACTTGGAGGCAAGAGCAGGTAGATCTCTGTAAGTTCAAGGCCAGCCTGGTCTACATAGTGAGTTCCAGGACAGCCAGAGCTACAAAGTGAGACCCTGTATCAAATAAATAAATAAATACATAAAGAATAAATCTTAGAAAATATTAGAAGCAATGAATCCACAGTAAAATTGTGGAAAACAACTCTATGCTGGGATGGGTTACGGTATTCTTTCAGGACATATTCTCCGTTATCCACTGACCTGGAAACACCACACATACAGAGATCCTGTCTCTAACCTCTCAGGATTCAGCACCGAATGCATCAGTACAACACACTTGAGGGTCATGTGTGTGTGTGTGTGTGTGTGTGTGTGTGTGTGTGTGTGTGTGTGTAAGGACTCCTGAAAATCCTTGCAACCGGGTACCATGATCGACTGCTGCATTGCAGGCCCCTGCTGGACTGAGCCAGTCTGCTATCTAAGATCTGGAGGAATACCTTACCACACTGACTCGACGTTTCTCCAGTCTGGGACAGGAGCACGTGTGACACAGGCAGAGACTTAGTAAGTCTGCATACCAGGCCTTGTCTTCTTGGTGTTCCCTCTCGGATCCAAGCCACCGGTGTAGAAGACTATCCAGGATACCCTGCTCGATAAAGAGAACATAGGTAAATGTACTGGACATTCTACCCACAGAGAAAGGTACCCCAGCCGAGTTCACAGCTAAACTCAGGCACGGGGCGACCCCCCAGCTGACATGTGGAGCAGAGCTTCTGATAGCACACTGCACCATGAGGAGGGAGTCTTGACTTCCTGGCATGGTCAGTTGCACAGCAATAGAGAACAGCTACACAGAGGCTGTCTAGGCTAGAGGGGATCCCTTAGAAGCCCAGTCAATTGATCCATGAAGACAGATTTTGAACAGTATAGAAAACAGATCTAACTAACAGAAAAGGATGCTTATTCATGAGCTTAAGGTGTTTAAATTAAGGAAGTGGGGCTGGAGAGATGGCTCAGAGGTTAAGAGCACTGCCTGTTCTTCCAGAGGTCCTGAGTTCAATTCCCAGCAACCACATGGTGACTCACAGCCATCTATAATGAGATTTGGTATACTCTTATGGTATGCAGGCATACATGTAGGCAGAACACTGTTTACGTAATAAATTAAGGGACCGTGATATTCATCAACCTAAAATACTTCAGGATCATGGGAGTCACTAATACGTGTCCTAAAGGTTCTTTCTTCCTTTCCTGGACCATGCAGACATCACTAAGCAAACACAAGTATCTCCTAATGAAAGGTCTCCTCGCACAGTCTTCCTAGGAACCACTAAGCGACTCCTAGCACAGAATGTGTAACCACCTTCACTTCCAATCTCTCTCATCTTTTTTATCAATGAATGGATTCAGGAGTTGAGAGGTTTATTTGCAGAGACGTCTCAGAGGTAGTAAGAGGCAAAATCAGAATTAAAACCCAGGACTGAAAAAGAGGTGTGGAGTCGGCTGTGTCGTGTGCTAGCTGTGTGATGTAGCTTAGCTGTTTAAACCTCTCAGGAGCTTGGTTTCCTCATCTGCAAACAGGGATAAGGTCTCTACATCACCAGCTGCCGTGTGAACTGAATGAATGCCTAAGTTCCCCAGGAAAGTACTGGCTGCCACACTCCCAGCTTGGTAAGCTCAGTTTCCCCACAGATATAACATGGAGTTCCTAGAAGGGAGAATTTACCCAAGAGAGGGAGCAAACGAACACTTGGTGTGTTTTGTCCAACAGGCATGTGGTTGGCATTGCAACCATGGGTGACGGCTAGGCAGAGAGACAGAGTGAGTGGGAGGAAACATCTGAAAGAAAAGCCTTGCTGTGTTCCGGGGTGAGGGTGGGCACTCAGTGACTTGCCTCTGATCTACCAGTGCTTAGCCCTTCCATCTGTAATGTGTCTAATAATTTTATCAATTATCCAAACACGAGAATCAGGACTGAGAACAAGGCAAGTCTGGCCTTTGTAGAATGTTCTCTGCAAAGCAGGAAGTTCTTTTCTCAGTTTGGGTCACATTCTTTCTGCCTGCCCTACCTCTGTAGCATCCTTAATATTCCTGGAACCCCTCTGTCTCTCATCTACGTTCTTAAGCGGACCCAAAAAGCCCATTTCTCTCACAGCCTTCTCAGCCTGAGCCTGATGCTCATTGACTCTGGGGCTTCATAACATGAGGCCCCGGGACAAGCCAGGAGACCTACTCTGCACAGAGCATTCACTTACCCCATCTTGTCTTGACAGAAGAGGGTCCCAGTCTCACAGGAGATCAGCTTCCCATAATTCTTCCCTGTGCCGGGCAGTGTTTCTTGGTTTCAAGCAATAGAAACAACCCTTGCCTAATTTGATGAGGAAAAAGATGGGTCAGCTCACAGAATCAAGCGTCACTGAGAGTGAGGTAGGTGAACTATAAACAACTTAGAGGTCCCAGAAGAGGGGCAGTCTGCCATCTTATCAGGGCCCTTCCTCTCCTCCTCTTCTTTTTCTTTGACAGGATTTCACATGTCACAGGACGGCCTCAAACTCATTTTAGGAAAGAGCATGGCCTTGGAACTCTTGATCCTCCTGCCTCCACCTCGAAAGTGTTGGGATTACAGATATGTGCCACCATGCCCGTCTAGAACACTGGTTTTTATACAGCCTTTGTTCATCCTCTGCCACGGTAGCTGAGATTCCTCATCCTTGAGTCCCGTTGGCTTGGCTTGAATGAAACACCGTCTGCCCTCTTCTCTGTCACCTTGACTGACAGCTAAGCTAAGGCTTCAATCAGTGAGGGAAACTCAAGCTGCCACCCAAAGGAAGGCAGATCTGCACAAAGCTCCAACACACCCCATCTCTCCCTGTTCACACAATGCACACTAACAGTCGAGATTTGAGTTTGTGGAACTGTACACTAAACGATTGCACACAGCACTTGACTGTTGTGAGCATCACAATGGGAACCATTCACAATAGCCAAGCTATAAAACCAGCCTCAGTGTCTATCCTGATGAAAAGGTGACAATCACACACACACACACACACACACACACACACACACACACGGAGTACTACTCAGCCATAAAGAAGAATGGAAATCATGTCATTTGCAGGAAAATGGGCAAAAGTGGAGATGATTATGTTACATGGAATGAGCCAGAGTCAGAAAGACAACTATTGAATGTGGAATCTACTTGAAAGGGGGGCAGGGAATGAAAGTAGAAAGGGACTATTAGGAAAGAAGGTGAGGATCAGAGATATGGGAACTGGAGGGGGGGTGGCCAAAGTAATATGCATGTTTGAAAATGTCACAAAGAAACTCATTATTTTGCACAGTTAGTATATATCAATAAAGCTTCGAAATAGCTAATGTCCTTGAAGCACTTGGAAGGTTATCAGACATGCAAACTGGAGGAGCAGTATTGGGCCTTTGGGGCTTTGTAATATTTTTAAAGATCGTATCATATGGACTACTTAACCTGAGATTGAATTTGGCCAGAAGCGGTGTCGCTCGGACCTTAGCGGGCAGACAGGCTGCGCTGGAGCCAGAGTAAGAGGAGTGGCCCCTGCTGGTGATACACTGGGCTTTCTCCTTTCAGCCCATTTCCCAATGCAATGATCTTGAGGAACGATTAGGCTACAGTTCATAGAGAGTTCTTCCTAACTAAGGAAAATCAACTCCAGCAAGAGCCAAGAAATGGAAAGCTGCCAGAGTGTAGGAAATAGCTGTTTGGGAGAACACGCTGGCTATTCAATATGCAACATGAAATTGAGTGGCAATGTAGCATGGTCGCTCAGCACACAGCGTTGCATCAGGGAGACCCGAGTTTGAACTGTAACTGCGTCTCTGGCCTCATCTATGGAAGTGTGGTAATCGTCCATCCACCAAATGCTGTACAGAGACTTACACGCTACGGCCACGGCACAAGCAGCACAGATCTAAAATCCCTACCCCCCACCCCCCGCCCCCCGGCCTCCCGTTCTGGCAGAGAGGGAAGATACGACTTTTTAAAGGTAAAACATATGGTGTATCGGATAGTGTTTTAGGGGGGGAAATCAAGCAGGGAAGGGAGCCAGTGGGGTGGCTAGGGGGAGTTACTGTTATCTACACTGGGATTAGAGAACGCCTCACTGAACCTAGAGCAAAGGAAGGGAAAAGCTGAATTAAACAGGGAAAGGTTGTTCTGGGCAGTGGGAATGGCAGATGCAGAGACCTGGAGGTAAGAAGGCACTTAGGAAATTCAAGGAACAGTAAAGGCAAGACACCACAGGAGGAGGTCTTGCTGTAAGACCCAGTCAGAGCTGGGCACAGGAACTAGAGAGTGACTGTCCGCAAAGGGACTGCCTGAATTCTTAGATCTGCAGCACACACAGGCTGGGTGAGGTGGTGCACACCTTTAATCCCAGCAGTCAGGAGGCAGAAGCAGGCAGATCTCTGAGTTCATGACCAATTTGTATTTCAAGCCAGCCAAGGCCGCAAAGCAAGACTCTCTCAAAAGATAAAACAAAGAGCTGGGCACAGCAGCATTCAGCTGTAATCACAATGCTGGGGAGACAGAGACTCCAGGGTCCCTGGGGCTCTCTAGCCAGCTAGTCTAGGCAAATTGGTTCACTCCAGATTCAGAGAGACTTTTTTCTCACAAAATAAGGTGGAGGGACTAGAGAGATGGCTCAGAGGCTAAGAGAACTTGCTGCTTTTGCAAAAGAACCAAGTTTGGGGGCTGGAGAGATGGCTCAGTGGTTAAGGGCACTGGCTTCTCTTCCAGAGGACCCGGGTTCAATTCCCTACACCCACATGGCAACTCACAACTGTCTGTAACTCCAGTTCCAGGGGATCCAACATCCTCACACTGACATACATGCAGGCCGAACACCAATGCAGATGAAATAAAATAAAAACTAAGTTTGGTTCCCAGCACCTACATCAGGCAGTTCAATAACCACCTGCAACTCCAGCTCCAAGGGGATCTGACACCCTCTTCTGACCTCTATGGGCACCTGTACACACACACACACACACACAAATTAAAAATAAAATCTTACAAAAAATTAGGTAGAGGGCAGTTGAGTGAGAGAATGTCTGGCCTTCACACGTACATGTGGACACACACACACATGCACGCACGCACGCACGCACGCATGCACGCACACGCACGCACACGCACAGAGTGCTGGCGATGGGGCAGATATAGAGCTTCTGTCTTAGCCTTTACTTGGAGTGACATGGGGGCCCTGGAGGATTTTGACCCGGAAAGTAATACAGCTTGGCTGTTCCAAGGTTTATTTGAGCTCCTGTGTTGTGGGCAAAGACAAAAAAGAAAGCTACAGCAGGAAGTCAGTGAGACTTCTGACTTCTGCTCTAGGCTGCAAAGTGTCTGGAAGTTGCCACTCCATCCTCACAGCAAGTCAAAGGCTGAGCAAACCAGAAAATCAACTGCTCTTCTTAGCTGTTAGAAAAGAGGTCACGGGGCAAACTGCCATCCCTAAGATTTGGAGGGACACAAAAGTGAAGGCAGCGTCAGGAAGCATTGGGGCTCTGCAGAAACCAGCCATGGGTAGGAAAACCAGAATAGTAATTGCTGGAGGCTCAGTGTGAAAAAGGCAAATTTAAAAGCCCGCACAGATGAGGTTTCTATACTCCTGTGAGGTTTCCTTACAAGAACTCAACTAGGTTTCCACAGTCAGCACTAGAGTTTAAAACCCTGTTGCTGGAGCTAGAGGTGGCCCAGTGGGTAAGAGTGTTTGCTGGACAAGCCTGAGGTCCTGAGTTTAAATCCCCAGCATCCATGTAAAAACTCTAGGCATGACTGCATGTTTCTGTAACCGCAGCCTCTCGTCATGGAGACGGGAGGATAAACAATAGCTTGCTGGCAAGCGGGCCTCACTGCAAGGATGAGGGTCAGAGCGAGACCCTGTCTCAAGGCATTAAGACAGAGTGCTGCAAAGGAAGACATACCACATACCTTTCTGGCTTTTGAATTCATGCACATGTACCCACATACATGTACATACACACATACATGTACACACACATGTACAGGAAACAAAAAAAAAAAAAATCCGTTGCTTCTGGCCTGGAAATCAGACATTCTGAAATAGGCCCGAGTACCCTGTTCTTAGCGAGGTCGACCCTCTGCCGGATAAGCTGTTTTCCCAGAGCCTAAAACACTGAGGTTTGCGGAAGGGAGATATCCAACTTCAGCTCGTTCTGGTCATTTGTTTCTTACTTAAGGGGACAGGGGACTAAGAAATACTTGTGAAATTCAGTGGCGGGCACACAGGCTCACTAAAACACTGAGGTCTAATCGCAGCTCTATAGAACGTCCCCCTCCCTCCAACCTTACCAGTACATCGCTAATGACACTTTACCATAGTCCTTTTTACCCATCATGTCAGGCTACAGTTAAGAGCAGTTGCTACTGTTGCAAAGGACCAGAACTCAGTTCCCAACACCCACATAGTGGCTCATAACTGTCTACAACTTCAGCTGTAGGGACACCCTATTCTAGCCTCTGAGTTACCAAGAACATACATGATGCACATCTTTACATGCAGGCAAAACACTCATACACATAAAATAAAGTAATGAGGTTTTTTTTTAAAAGATGCTAAGAACTCTAATGGATAAACAGCATGCAAATACAGGCAAGGTAAGCAGAGAGAACTTCTAAAAAGAATAGAAGATAAACACTGGAGGTCAAGAACACTGTAACATAAATGAAGAATAAGCTTGACAGGTTCATTAGTAGACCAGGTGTGGATAAGGAAGGAGCCAAGCTTGAGGACACCACAATAGAACTTGCAAATTGAAAAGCAAGAACAAAAATCAATCAACAAACAAACAAACAAAACACAGGCTGAAACAGAATAGAATGCCTAAGAACTGTGGGACAGCTATGAAAGGTGTGACCTATACATGATGGAAATGCCAGAAGAAAGATAGACAAGAAGACGAGAAATGTAACTGAGGACATCTCCACAATTGTCAAACACCAAACCACAGATCTGGGATGCTCAGAGGATAAATGTCAAAAAAAAAAAAAAAGTAATTAAATAGGTGTTTCATGTTTGTACTGTCGCACTTGGGAGGCCTAGGCAAGAGGATCACCCACTCAAGACCAGCCTGTGCTACTAAGGCTCTATAAAAACAAAACAAACAAAAACCCCAAACAACAACAACAAAGAAATAAAAATCTCAACATCTAAAGGGAAAAAATAAAAAATACTAAAAACCAGCCGGACGGTGGTGGCGCACGCCTTTAATCCCAGCACTCGGGAGGCAGAGCCAGGCGGATCTCTGTGAGTTCGAGGCCAGCCTGGTCTCCAAAGCGAGTTCCAGGAAAGGCGCAAAGCTACACAG